GTTTAACAAAATTTATTCGCCTTTAAATGAAGGCGAAACCCTGCCTCTGCCTCACCAAAATAAAATGTCACGGGCTGCCACTGATTAAGTCCCCTTTTTTTAAATTGTTGTAGTTTTATATAGGTTGTAAAACACTTTTAATTGGTTTAAAATGCTTTTAGTTTAATAACCCTAATGCCATTTAAAAAGTTTTTATAAGCAATAAATTTGCTTTCCTTTTAAAACTACATCTTAAGTTAAAAATAACATAAAATAAAATGTTAAATATGCAATTACATTCGTTTAAAAAAATAACATTTTAATTTAATTAAATTCCTTGAAAGCTTAACATTAACGTCCCCAACATATATTGTGTAAATTCTTTCTCTTTTGTGTCCTTTTTGTTGTATAAAGGCTAAATGTAATTGTTAATGGACAAAAGCTTGAATACCTTAAGAAGACAACTTAAAAATACTTTTAGAAATGTAAAATAAGAGTTCCAAAGGAGCAAGAAAAAGGAGGGCAAGTTGATTCAAATTAAAAGCATAAATGAATGATTAAACTTTGAGATAATGCGCTGGTGGATCCCCGAAGGAGACTGAGTGTCCGTAGAACCCCCAACTCCTAAGTTAGCATCCAGATTACTCCGGAGACTAATGAGTGCACAAAACAACGATGTTAATCAGTCAGCCGTTTGCAGGAAAGCGACGAGCAAATACTCTTCTCTGTCCGTCTTTTGTAAGATCCAGAAGACGTTTCACACTTTGTTTAAAGTCTTCAAGTGGCCAAATGTTGAAAGGGCCAATACAACTACAAATAGCAAGTGTTAGCATATAATTTAAAACAAATATTCACTACCAGATGTAAAACTTTTAGTTGAGCGTTCAGTGAAGTATCTGTATCTTAAGCGTTGTCCAAATATTTCCAAGTATTAAAATATTGACCATTTAACAGAAACACATAGAATTGAAGTTTTAATTCTCATAGGATGTGGCATTAATACTAGAACACAACAAGAAGTTTGCAATACGGTTAGAAAACTGAACGGAAATTCAGAGAGACTGTACATGTCCAAGATATTACGTCTTATGAAGAAAGAAAATACCCATCCATACAAAATTAGAAGTGCAGGAACTTAATGAAGATGATCCAGACCGTAGACTACAATTTTTTAAAACTATGATGAATTTATGTAACAATTTCCTCGAAAAAACTTTTTTCAACCATCAAAATTGTAGGTACTGAAGCTGAGAAAATCTTCATTGGGAAGTAGAGGAAAATTTCCAATACCAGCAGAAAGTGAATGTATTGACAGGAATGGTGAAAATTGGATCAATTCTTTGACGAGAATATGACAGGACAAACGTATTTGGAATGTTTGCAAATAGTATATTAAAGTACAAGTTGCAGAAGGCCACATATTCTCGCACGAATTCGAAATTTGGCCTCGAGCGACGAAGGAGCGAGTGGACGAACGAATGAGTGCGAGAATAGCCTTCTGCAACGTGTGATTTATACTATTTTCTCGATTTTAACTTTTATTTAGGTTTTTTTAATTGTTTTGTGGTCGTTGTTAGTTAGGGGATTTTTCTCGCAAAATGTCAGTTGGCAACACAAAATGACAATATTTGTTATCCTACACAAGTACAACCTGAACTGCACTTTTACACATTAAACTTAAAATTTTGCATTAAAATGCATTGTTGGAGCAAACTTTATATTACAAAACAATAATAAAGGCTTCATTTTCAATAAAAGTAATGAATTTGAGGTTATTAATCAGTTTGACATTTTGGGGGTACCAATACTTAAAAACTAAATGTTACCAAAAATCGTTTAAGAATGAGCTTCATTCTTCAACGATTTTGCGTGCGAGAATATGACATTCTTACATAAAAATCGAGAAACTATCTTCTTCCCACATTATCAGAAATGTTTTCCAATGAGATCTACCAGATAATACCATTTGGTTTCCCACTATGCGTGTCCTGCCCGTACTTTTTTGGACATGTTTTCCTGAGAGGTGGATTGGCAGACGAAGAGTGGCCAGCGATATGTCCGGATTTCACCCCTCTTAAGTATTTCTTATATGTATCTTGACACCTGTCAAAGTTTTGCTTGATATTTTGTTGGGTTCCTATCATCTATCATTTGTGCAAAAAATTTTAGCCCAAAGTGTTTTCAATTACTTGAAACCATGAAATAAAACCTACAGTATTAAATTTGTTGTGTGTTTTTTTTGTATATTATTCATAATACATCGACGCACATCATTATTCTTTGTGCGTCTCTTTTGGGCTGGCAGGAAATTTATATTTCAATTCGGCATGTACATACATACATGTATATATCCCTACCCTGAAACATTTTACGAGGGCGTAAAACAAGTGAATATAATTTACTGTTTGACATGCAAACGGAAACGGATATCTACAAATGACGCCGACGAAGTTCCGTTCAAATGACACTAAATCAACTGGATTTTTTTTTAGAAATATTTATGCTTGTAAAATACTTTTTTGGTTTATCTATATTTTACTGTTAAACGTGCTTTTAAATTAATTAAATGAAAGCCACAAGTTTTGTTTATGTTTCCATGGTAAAATTCACCCCTATTTATTTTTAATCTGTGTAATTTTTTTACGAAAAATTGAATATTGTATGTATTCGACGTCTAAATATTACACTTTTTATACCATTTTAAGTAAATTTTTATTTATTTTCCTAAAATAATAAAAAAATAAAATGGGATAAAATCTGTTATATTTGAATTTTTTAAATAAATTTTAATATTTTTCAATAAACTATGGTAAATTATAAATTGAACTACCCAAATTTGTATTATCTTTATTAGGTTATAACCTAACGCCTATAGGCGGAGCAAAAACTTCTATTTAAATTCTGCTTGCGCAGAATTTTTTTATTTAGTGTCATTATAAACCAATATAAATTTGTCGAGATCCCATGCAGGATTACCAGATTCTGTTGAAAAAAAATCTGCATATTTTGTATGATTTATCTTAATTACAAAATTGACATACAATGAAAATTGTAAGTTTGACGTTACTTAATTATTGTTGATTGGTAATTAAGTTTAATTCACACAAAATGTCCCAATTTTTGTTGACAGAATCTGGACTCTCATGTCTAATAACTAAATATGGGATATTTATGTACTAAAAACTGAAAAATAGGTAACTAAAAAGGTACTAAAAAAAGCATTTTAGGTTAAAAAAACAGCATTTTAGGTAAAAAAAAAAACATTAAAAGTTCAAGTTTCGTTTATTTTTATAAAATAAGTAACATAATAGTTATTTATGTCATTAGGTTAAGAAGTAAGGCTTTTTGTGCTAAGCTACAATTGAGCGAAGCACAAAAAGACACTTTTTGGCCGAATGGCATACAACATTTTATCTTCAAAGCACTTTATATAGGTCAATTTAATTCAACATGAAAACGGCCTAACCTCACTTTTTTAGCATCTCATTTATTTATTAGCCAAAGATTACATTAAATGTACAATAATTATTATTCCTTTTAGAAGCAGTAATAGTTTGACAATACCTAGCTACATGATTTAAGTAGAAATGGATTTTTGTAAGAAAATGGTTTACTTACCCTTTTGCTATTACATTGAATTCAATTAATTGCTTAATAAATAGGTATCTAATTTCAATTTGTTTGCATTTTTATTAAAAAAATAGGTAGTTTGGAATGTTTACGCTGTGTTTAACATTTAATTTCACTGAAAACTTAGAGCAAATTAAAATTTAAAGATAATTTAAATCGTAGAAAAAGAAAACACAACTGTGAAATACACAGAAACGTCAAATTGCAATGTCCTAACCTCAATTTTTGTTTTATTATTCATATTTAATTTTACAATAATTTAATGAAAAATATTAAACATTATAATGTTATAAGAGTAAAACAAACAAATTAGTGCTTATTATAAATAAATTAAACCAGTTTAGTACGTTAATTTCTTAGAAAAGGATTAATTTGTCAAAACAATACCCCTAGCGAGAAAAAATCGAACTAATTACTTGCCTCATAAAAATTTTTATCGGCCTAGGCCATAACAAGGTATTTCTTTATCGAATGTTGACAACAATAAAGTTTAAATTATAGACCGCGTGGAGATAAAATATTTTTTTTATAAACTTAAAGCTAATTAAAGCTATAAGGAACTGAAAATATAACAGGGAATACCTGATATTTACCAAATTTACTATAGATAGCCAAAATGTATATAAATTAAAGAAAGATGTTTTAACATAACCTCAAAGTCCTTACAATTTTACTGCAAAATCTACAAAATAAGTTTTTTCCGTCAATAGAAAATATCTTATTCTTCCCCTCTATCCAACTGCTGAGTTTATTTAGAGGATTTTCTTTGGTTTTGGGCATTTTTAATAATTTTGTTTAGCCGCATACCCAAACACAGAACATACCCACAATAAACTATTTATATGCAATAAACTGTGTTTCACTGAGTGACACTCACTACACAGAAGTTCTATGACATAACATAAGCTCACTACAAAGAAGGTAACTGCAAAGAAAGTTACTGCTACAGTCTGTGACCATAAGAAAAAAATCTATACCGTTGAGTTGCACGCCCTGGATAAAATATTGGCGCAAAATTTAAAAAGACCAAAAAAAAATAAGTAAAAATACGTAAAAATAGGTAACAAATAGGTGAAAATAAACTGACAAATTAAAAAATAGGTAACTAAAGTATAAAAAGGTTGTTTAAAGTAAAAGTCTCAAAAAAGGTAAAAAAGGTGAAAACAAGTTAGGTTCATATAAAAGAAAATCCTTTAAAACACATTTTGGCATTATTGGTTTTCAAATAGTTACATCGGTTGAAAAAAGGTAAAATAACTAAAATCCCATCCCTACTAATAACTGCATATGCTATAGCATATGCAAAATGCACTAGTGTATATATATATATATAGATGTTTTGCCTTGCTCAGGGCCCATAACCTCTTAAAAATGTTCATGTTTTGTTGCAGCAAAGCCGATCCCCACTGTGACTTGGTTCCGCAACGAAATGATGGTTAGCAATGCGAGCGTAGCGTTGCCCAGCGCCGGCACGAGCCACGTTCGCAGCGAGCTACGGATTACCGGCCTGGGACGCAGGGACGTCCACTCGGAGCTCACCTGTCAGGCCAAAAACAACGCCAAAGGCCCGCCCCTTGCCGCCACCCTGCACGTGGATATGAACTGTAAGTCGCCGCCGCTACCCCAGCCGTCTTGCTTGCTACTGTACTTACTTTTAGTTAACTCTCTAAAAATTAAACTACTAATAAAATAGTCGTTTTTACTTTTAAATAGTCATTTTTTACTACGTAAATAGTTAAAGTTTGACTAATTTAAGATTAGTCACCTTTTTTTATTTCTGAGAGTGTAAAGTATCCAATTTCTTTAATCGTTTGCGGCCAACAACAAAGTGTTATTTGAATGAAATGCATATACCTAAGCTCCATGGTTAAATGACCCATAAAAACAAATAAAGATACAAAAAGTTTAGCTCAAAAAAGCAACACAAATAATATATTTTATAACAGCAGCTGAATGGGTTATGACAACAGCTTGACAAGCTTGACAAGTGACAGACCTAAGTTCAATGCCCGGGTGTGTCAAAACTTTTTTTAACATTTAATTATTTCATTCAGTAGAATTTGACTAATTATAATTATTATATACTGCTTTTTCGCTATGACAATTAGTCAAATATGACTAATAAATTAGTTATTTTTGACTAATTCATTTTAAGAGAGACAGCATCATTGTCAGACATAATATTATTTCAAAAAATTTTGATTTTTTTCGATGTCAATTTGTCATTTTCTTAGGTTGATAAACTTAAGAAATTAAATTTATGTTATGCCTGGTAACTGTAAATATAAAAACAACTAAGTGTGTTTTGAAAGTTTCACGTAATTTATTAAATGTTGAGAATTGTTTCGCTACACAGTAGATTCTTCAGACTTAAAATATTAGTCCATTACTTGTAAACATTTTCGTTCACCATATACAGAATCAATTATCCAAGAAAACATATACCTATTTAAAAAAAATTTTTTTTTAATAAGTATGACAAAAAAGTAGTTGCTTTTTCATTTTTATAAAAATTATTTATCTACAAACGCTGCTTTCAGTAATAGCATTTGCATTAATACCAAAAAAATGGTTCTATACCGTTTGTAGTATTAATGAAACCCTAATGGTATTATTCATAGAAATTTTGTAAATTTTACAAATACCTTTTCGTTTAAAATAAAACTTTTTTTATAATATTAATAAAATGTATGTAAATTTAACAACAAATTAATTGTTAATTCGATAATTCATTGTAACAATGGTCACATTTTTAACCTACTTTAGGGTATTTGGTAGTTTTTTTTAATAATTGCAAGGCATTAAAACAAGTTTTTTATTATAACAAAAAAACTAACTTGAATTATATGATGTACAATATAAAAAAAATGAACTCACTTTTTAAACAATAAGTCTGCTTTCACGTTTTAGAAAAGGTCGAAATTTTAATTTTCTTAGTGATCTATTTGATATTTTTATCATGCTAAATTTTACCACACTTCACTCGCACAAGTGAAATCAATAAGATTATAACACAGACTGTGGATTATAAAGTTATGTTCACTAAGGAGAGCACTGGCACTTTCCCCCTCTTTTCAAGGGAAATAAAAAAAAATTTGTTACCATTGCAAAACAATAGCAAATATTAAAAAAGTTTTTTTATAGCAATAAAATATTTTTGTTATTGTTCTTAACGTAAGCAATTAACAAAGATTTTCTAACTGAAATAAAATTAATTTGAATTACAACGATAGTAATTTAAAAAAGATAAATATGCTACAAATTTTACTATACAACTATAAATTTAACAAAAACATTTTAAGTTTGACAAAGATTTAATATAAACATAAAGTATTTCTTATTGCCATGACAATATGATAACAACTTTTAACTTTGTTGTGTTGAATGGACATTTTTTTTATAAAAGCTCAACATTAAAATAGTAAAAAAAAGTTTATTCTGTAAATAAAAATAATCTCAATACTTTGACAAATCTTAGCTTTTTGTCCCAATAAGACACTGAAAATTTAATAAAAAAGGTACCTTAGGTGGTACATTTTTTATAGCCATTACAATTTTAAATTTAAGTTAAATAATATTATTTTATTAATCACTTACAAAATAAGTTTCATTATCAGTGCATGCAGTTTCATTATCAGTGCATGCATGCATGTACATGTACATTTTTCTAAGTGTTTTTATATTGGTTCCGATATGTAGATGATACTTGCTTCACAGATACAAATAAACAATTAATTAGTTTTCATAAGTAGTTTTCAAAAAAGTAAAGGTTTTTTACACCTTCAAAATATATCACTAACCTATATAGCTACAAAGATATAGTTATACAATTCATCCATCCAGCTTTTTACTTAATGATCAAACAAATTTTCCTTATACTTATTAATACCCAATTAATACTTTCAATACTTGTACAAATTTAGGTTCCAATATGAGACATGTTTCCCTGTTAAAAAGAAATTAATAGCAATATCTCTTTTAATCTCTTTTCTTAAAAAACAACAAAGATAAGTCGAGATACGAGGATAAACTGAGACTAATTTTTCTATGCAGATAACAATGAAAACTGCTGAACCAGTTGTGCTAATTGGAAGTATTATTAAACATAATTTTAACTATAAATATATTCTGTCAACCTAAGCCAATGTTAACAATGTTTTTCCTCCATAGAGCTTTTTAAGGAAGGTATTACAAACTGTACACAAAAAACAAAGGAAAATATGACATCAACGTCGCTAAAATGGACTTACAAAGCTCTTTGCCGGTTTGCAGATTTTGGAATTGATAAACAGACATCGGACGAAACAAATGGACAAAGAAATAAAAGGTTTTATAGATAAACAAGCGAAATCTCGAACAAAGTTTCAGACTAAATAAGTGTTTTGGCAATGTCTGCCAATTTTCTATGATTGATCAAAAAGTTTAGTTTAGTCGTTAAGTCTTCAAAAGGCAGATAATTCGGTGAAATTTTCGAAATTGTTAATTATTTTGCTGACCCACTAATAACGGTTGAGGGTTGTAAAGAAAATCCAATTTTCTTGTGGAGAGAATCATAAATATTTTATGTGAAAATTATTTTGAGTAGTGTATTAAAAAGCGCTTGGACATTTCATTACAACTAGCAAAAAATCGAAAGTAATAACCATTAAATATTACGTTATAAAATGTAATACCATCACCAGTTTATCATAAAAAACCAAGGGAATAAAATAAAATGGATTTTTCAATGGAATGTAAAAATAATCCGTAATATGCAGGTTACATTTTCCTGGATAAATATATTTTTATGCGGTACTTCTTTACGACTTATAAAACGCTGAAAAGTCCATCAAATCCCAAATATTATATAGATGAGAGTATAAAGTTCTCGAAAAGGAAACAATGTTTTATAGAGCCAGATAGATATGTGGGTTAATATTGTTTACCTACCAAACCTACCCCTGACTTTATAACCTAAAAAAGCCCATTCCATTTAAGAATGGAGTAGATGCTTTATTAAAATAACAGTTTTTAAAATTTTCGTACCTATATTTTCCAATATAAATTATTTAAAAAACAAAGTGTATAAGGCATGCATAATTTTTTTCATTGTGTTTAATTTAACCAGGGGGCAGGCAAGGGTGAACTATATGCATGCTACAAAAATTTTCGAGACTCCACCTCCCACCCATTTTCTAGCTCATTTTTCTGGAAATGCAATTTTTGAGTATAGCTCCCTCCTTTTGATTAAAAAAGTTTATTCTGAAGCCATAATTTATGCATAAATACAACTAACAAATGTTATCCCCTAGAGTTTTTTTCTTAATTTTTTTATATTCTTGTCACAAATTTTAAATGTCTTTTTTCCCTCTCGATATCTTTGGCATCATGGCATTTATTTTTCAAAAAAATTGCCTAAATGCCTAAAATGACTTTAATATAATTATAATTAATTAATATATTATAATTATAATATAATTAATTATTCTTTTACAAGAACAAACACTTGAATAAAATTTCCACCAACTTCAACAAAATTTCTTTGTTCTTTTCAGAGGCTTTAAGCCGTAATTTTTATTTTCTTCTAATGCAAATTTACTTATACAAGAACACATTGCAAACTGTGAACATAACCTAATTGTGTATGTTTTACATTGCCGCAATCCTCTTGAAACCAAGTTTTTGTCAATAATAAGTTTTAGCCAGTTATAAATGTATTTATGTGTATATTAAATAATATATTTTAAAAATATACGAGGTGTGTTCAGAAAATATCGGAAATTTTCGTTTTTTGAAAAAATATTTATTTATTCGTCTACATTAATGTTGTCGCCTTCAAAATAGTTCCCATTGGATATTATGCACATGTGCCAGCTCTTCTTACAATACTCGAAACACTTCTAAAACTCGATCTTTGGGACAGCCTTTAGTTCTTTCAGCGATGCGCTTTTAATGTCATCTATGCTTACAAAACGACGGCCCTTTAAGGTTCTCTTTATTTTTGGGAATGGGAAAAAGTCAGACAGAGGCATGTCTGGCGAATATGGAGGCTGGGGCATCATTACAGTATTGTTTTTGGCCAAAAATGTTGTTGAAAATTTGACAATTTTAGAACAAATTTTGCTGCCACGCGTTTCATACCCAAAACATTCGAAAAAATTTCATGGGATGAGCCATTAGATATACCAACATTATCAGCGACTTCTCTGATGGTTTATAACCATTTCTTCCACTTTTTCCATGTTTTTATCGGTTGTTAATGTGCTTGTGCGTTCTTCACGGCCATCTTGGAAACTCTTATACCACTTGTAAACTCTTGTTTTACTTATAGCAGACTCACTATAGGCCTTTGTTAACATTTCACAGAATTTATTTTATTTTTTAAGCAAAATTGGATACAAATTCTTTAATCCATTTCTTTAAACGAACGAAAAATCGCCGAGCTCATAAAACACGTCTAACCTTAGCGGCTGCCACAGACACAGTAAACGATGAAAACAGCTAAAGTTTTTATCATACTTCGGGGGCATGTATACCAACATAATAAAGAAAATTTTATGACAACCGGACCCTCCGAACCCGCGTAATTTAACAATTCCTGTTATTTTCTGAACACACTACGTAT